GCGTATGCGTGTTTGTGTGTGGTGGGCGGGCGTGCGTGTGGGGCGCGTAATCCCGCATGGGCGTAGGCCATGTATGTATGCACTGTAGGCCAGGGCCTACATTTTTTTTGGGGCCAAGTATATCTTTTTTTTTAGAAGGCGCGCAAATAAATTCAAATCCTATAAGACTTGCTGGACGAGTTTAAGAGTCTAGACAACGCAGGAAAAACTATTGAAATGAAGCGTAGGCAAGAATATGGCTAATTAGGTGACCTATTCTTCTGTCATGCTAGGACTGTGCATTTCTTATCGCGTGCCCAATTTCATTCAAACACTTTACCCGCCCGAACAAAGACTAAGGTATCCGATACGTTCTGCGTTGCGTAACAGTAAAGTTTTTAACATCGTTTGCGTTTTTTATTAGCCATCATCTGAAACATAGTGGGCGAGATGCAGGCTTGTAGAATCGGCGATGATGGCGTGCCGTGCGTCGTCGTCCGTAGCGTGCCACAACCAGTCTGGCAGCAAATCTTAACCGCTCGACGTACGTCTAGCCGCGCTAGCACCGGAAGGAGGAAGAGGAGAGAAGACAAAAAGGAAAGAAAGGAGAAGAGAGAGAAGAGAAAAAGAAGACAAAGAGAAAGAGGAGAGAAAAGGAAACAAAGGAAAAAAGAGAAACAGAGAAGAAGAAAAAAAAAAGGAGGAGAAGAGAGGAAAAAAGAGCAAAGAAGAAGAGGGGAGAGGCAGAAGAAAAAGAGAAAGAGAGAAAGAAAGAGAAAGAAAGAAAGAGAAAGAGAAGAAGAAGAAGGAGAAAGATAAAAGGAACGAAAAATAGAAGAGGAAGAGAAAGAGAAAAGAAGGAAGACAGAGAGGAGGGGGAGGAAAGAGAAGAGAAAGGAAAGAGGAAGCGCCCATCCACGGATCGAGATGGACAGAACAACGAAGAAGCGCAAGGAGAAAAATATTTCTTTCGGCTGGCGCACATTGGGGGGATATGTCAAAATCGAGTTGGGCTGTCGAAGGTCTGGGGGTCAAGGTCAAACAGTCATAGAGGTGTAAATCAGAAGAGGGGGAACATTCACGTCTTAACTAAGGTATAGGGGGAAATGCAGATTGGGCGGGCACAAATTATAACGCTCGACGCTAAATGGCCTACGTGATAGTCCGGTGTGTATTAGCATGCATGGTAGGAAAAGGGCCATAGCACTGTGCCGAAATGGCAGTCACCAGGTCAAAGGTCAATGGCACAGGGCAGATTTTTAGACATTTGTAGAGGACATGTGGTCTGACGGAGCGATTGAAAAACTTTGTTTGCACGGCGGTGAGCCTAGCATTTTTATGGTCATATATTTAAAGGAGGGCCATAGAATCTATTTCCTGCTGACCATGCGAAGAGTAAGTGTCAGATTAACCTTTCTGACCCTCAAGAGGAGGGTTAAAAGCATGATTTGTGACTGTCTGTTTAGAAAAGAATATTTGACACTGCCCGGGTTTGTGCTTAGTAAGAATGCTATACATGCGCTGGATGTATGAGGGCTACAATGTCACAGTGAAATTTCACAAATCTAAATTTGTTAAAGAAGGGTTATGCTCCTAAATCGTATAAATTTATATGGCATTTCTGTACTGTCAGCTGTCTACATAGTACGTATGCTACTGCGCAGTGCTAACTGCGCAGTGGCAATGTGTTGTCGTAGCTGTGGAGTTATTGCGCCTTAATTGGTTAGCAGTGGCAGCTCTGCTATTGCGCAGCGCGTTGTAGGCTTGCGTAGGTAATGGATGAGTCGCTTACCTATTCTGTCTGCAGATAGTTGTTGCTACTTAGCGTTGATCGGGACCTTCCATCTTAAGTCTGAAGACACTTACAACGATAGGGCCGCCATCTCGTGGCAACTATTTCATATACCGATCCGCAACAAACATGTCTTTTGAGAAGGTTCCTGATACGCAATTCCCTGTCATACGCAAACTGTTCATCGGCTCGGCCTCATGTGAAGCCACATTTGGGACTAACAGGGTATTACCTAGATATCGCCACCAGCATGCACCACGAAGAGTCAGCCGCAGTAGACGTTTTAAGATGAGCGCGTGTCGCTCTGCGCGGCACTTGTTGGGTTTAAGAAGTGATATTGACATGAGGTGTTCTCAAAGTTAAGCCCAAGAAGGCCAGGGACCAAGAATGACACACGTCAGAAAGGGCGTTTCGGCGCATCTGGACGCACGCACGCACGCACGCACGCACGCACGCACGCACACACACACACACACATACTTAAACGCACCAGCCTACGACACACACGCACAGAAATAAAATTCCAACAATTTAACAGTTTGGCTATATTGAATGGCATTTAAACGGTTAATAAATTATACATTTATTACAATGATATTTATGGCAACTACAAGTAGCAAGTTTAGTTTATTCATTAAACCACCTGTCGAAAGCTATACCTGGACCACTTTACGCCACTGTCAAAGCAAGTCAGAGTCATATGCTCTTCACTAAGACCCGTATTTACACAGAAGCATGACAGTCCGGCTGACAGCGCATCTATTCAGATCATGCGCATCTAATAGTAATACAATATATCATATACATGTCACATGATGCACATTAGCCAGAATAAGTACGAAGTCCAAAACATTGGTAATGAAGCCCTGAATTATAGTGCACTGGAAATTATTCCAGCTATTTCTATTTCATGTTAACCATAACTCCAATTTTGTGTTATAAGATGAGAGCTAGAACCTCAGTCAATATAAAGACATGATCCTCACATGAGTGCATTGATCTTATCAAGATCTATAGCATTTAATGTGAGAGAAATGATTCCTGCCCTTCTTTTATAGTTGTATATTACATTTACCATACAGGAAGTTATCAGCTTGGGTTTTACCACGTATTAAGAGAATGTACATGGCGGTTACAAATGTAGCAATAAAGCACCGAGTCAGTGTGATATCATGTCAACAGTTGGTGGTTCATCTTCATCGCTGTCAAACTCCACCAACTCATCCTTTATCCACTGACCATCATTGGATTTTTTCCAACCACAACTATAAAAAATAAAATACATAAAGAACATTCAGGGACTGACAAGTAGTTTGTACGAAACGGACGTTTTAAACAAGATAACCACGTTATTCAAACACTGAACTTTGCCAATTTTTTAATACAATAACCATTTCTCAAACACTTACCTTTTCAAGTGAAGGTAATGCTCCAGTTGTTTCCTCTTATGCACATCAGCAACAGCAACGTCTACATGAGGGCGTCTGCTGTTCAATGATTCACTGGCACTTCGGTACTGTTTATGCACATAGACAACAGTGTCTTTTTCGGAAGATTTTGAATTCTCTGCAGCTAATTTCTGCTCACAAGTGGCAGCACTGTTGCTTACACTGCTTTTCTTACTAGGATTCATGTCTCTTGCTGTTGTTGATCTAGAATTAGCATTGCTAGTTAATGGCCGGCTATTTGCTACCGCTTTAGCACTTCTCGCCTTCAAGTCTACCACCATTTTTCTCCGGAACAACACAGACTTCTTTTTCTGCTTGTTCCTACTGCTATATGTTGCAGAGGGCAGCAATCCAGGTCCAAGGACTCCAGCTGATTTAACCTAAGTAAGAACAAGTTCACTCGAAGTAACTTACATGAGAAAAGGTACATATTAACGGAACATTTTTAGGCAACAAAACAGTTGAGGAAACACAGTATGCATTGTAATCAAAGATAGCAATGAATAACCGTAGTTACCACTTGTAATAACTTTGGTAATCAGTGCAAGAGCCAGATACGTCGCATCCATCTCACTTGCAACATAACACTATTCACTAGTAATCACTACGCACATGTCCTTTTTAATTATACGTTGCACAACGATAGTGGTGAAGCATAAAAAATGTACCTTTTTGGCATCCAATGTCACTCTCCCATCTTTATCATATTCTGCATGCTGTCTTTTCAGTATCAATGCATCCAACTCGCCTTTTTTGTCTACAAATCTTTCCAGCTCTAAAATATATTTTACAGACAGTGAGTCCTGTTAACAACACTTAACAGGTGAGAAACCACATGTTATACTGTAACAGGCTTAATAGTGATATGTACGCAGTTTAAAATTACTGCTGGCCAGTAAAAATGTGTGCTATTTGGCAGTAACTACATAAATGCAAAGACATCTAAAATGATTACTTGCATGGAAACCTTTTGGAAGCCGAGAGAACAACTAATGGAGCAAGCTTGTTGCTGCACATGCTTCTACTACAGGACGCACTGGTGCCAAGGTTACCATCATTACTACTTACTATTCCACTATAAAATTTTAATTAAATTAATAACTAGCCCAATCTCACATGATTTGGATGGCTACAACCACATTTTATTTTAACAAGTGCCGCAGAGTGACAGCGCTCAACTGACGTGTACTGTAGCCAGGTATTCTTCTGATAAACTCACTGGCAACCGAATCAAGTGCACCCTCATGCCACCGCGTTCGCGCTCAGAGCATATATCTAGGATACTACTAATACAGATCTAAAATCTATGATAGGCTTTACAGTAGTAAAGATACAGCTGTGTAACTTTAATGACTTCGCTATATTAACATGGATATGCGTCGAGCGCGAGC